GCCTCTTAGCTCCCTGGGTCGGCAAGCCCCAGCGCAACCATCTCACATCAGTCTCCTGGCTCCCGCTGCCTCGCTTACTATCGCTCTTGCTACTGCTGCGCAGCCGCCTCTCGCTGTCTTCCGTGTTATAGCTCCTCCCTTTCTCTCTCCCTCTCTCTTTCTCCCTTTAAGCCTAGTGGGATGGCAAAACTGACCAATCCCCACGTGAGGATTCCATACACCTTATTTGAATGGTCCCACCCTCACAAGAGTGCCATGGAGAGTGTCGTGTACCTATGTACATTTTAGTAAGGTATCCAATCCCCTTGGTGGGCCACAAGCACCTCATTTGCATAGTCCCACCCAGTCACTATGGCTAGAAGCGTCACATTAAGTAATTCATTGCACCCCAGTGGTAAAAAGATCAATCTGGCCACTCTGCAGAAAGTGAATGAATTGTATTTGGGATGCACTGGAGAGTGAAAACAGGAAGACCAAAGGAGTCTCTTGCAATAGTTCAGCGAGAGATGATATTGGAGACAGAGAGCAGTGACTACTCAGGGTAGATTTTAGAGGCAAAATTGTTATGCTCCTGTACAGTGATTTGGGAGGAAGGACTCTTTGCTTCAAAAGCTATTATAGTTTCACTATATTTTTTAAGTCCTTTTTTGTTTCTTTTTCCTATTCAAAAAGCAATGCATTTTCATTTCAAAACATCACAGATAAAAGATAAAGTTATAAAATGAGCTGAGTAGGGATAAGGGGCAGAGCAAAAGTCAAGGTGTCTATATTGATTTTTAAAGAAAAAATAGTCAGTAATATAAAAGAATGAATTACTGATACACTCAGTAAGACGGAATACATTTCAAACACATTATATGTGAAAGAAGGCAGACACAAAAGAGAATATCCTATATGACTCCATTTGTATAAAATTCTAGAAAAGGCAAATCTTATCTAACGTAACAGAAAATTATTCAGTGATTGTCTGAGGCTACAGGGATTTACTGTAAAGGGGCAGGAGAGAATTTTTGGGATGACGGAAATGTTATTTTGAGGCAGGTGGTTGTTGTATGATATGTGTATTCATTTTCAAAAATTCACTGAAGTGCATACCTAAATGGGTGCATCTAAAATAAAACTTCGTTATGTCCCTCCCCAGTAACCCTCATTCTTTTTCATCTGTGTCAGTCAGGATTCAATCAGAGAAGCAGAACCACTAAGACAGATAATGATAAAGAAAGAGAGAGTTAACAGAGATATTGACAGATAGATATTTGTTCTAGGAATTTGACCTTACATAATTGTGAAAGCTGGTTAAACGGTCTCTGTAAGGCTGTTATTGGAGCTCTGGTGGCACAGTGGTTAAGAGCTCTGCTGCTAACCAAAAAGGTCTGCAGTTCGAATCCACCAGCTGCTCCTTGGAAACCCTATGGGGCGGTTCTATTCTGTTCTATATGGTCACAGTGAGTTGGAATTGACTCAACGGCAACGGGTTTGGTTTGGTTTGAAGGCTGTTATGTTCACCTATTACTTTCTGATGCTGGAGTTTGAAGTCCACAGGGCAGGCAGTCGAGAAGGGAAGATGGATGTAAAGTTCCAATAGCACGCTAGAACCCACAGAATGATGAACTAAACCTGTCGGTTCTTATTGCTTCTAACCTTGGTGGTGTGGGGCAGAAGCTGGGGCCCTTGGTCCTCACAGAGCTAAGCGCACACCTGCCAAAAAGTCACAAGCTGCAGGAGATCCAGAGGCCGAGGGAGCAGTTACAGGCTCAACCGTTACCTCAAGAGGTGAGCCTGCAGAGAAGCAGCGATATGTATGAACTACAAAATGGCTGTTATTTTACTTCTACTCTCCAAATCTACAAAAATCTCTTATGGCCCACCCTAACCAGAAACACACAATAAAAAGAATTGTGGGAAATGTAGTTCAGCCTAGATAAATCGACACATTACAAAGCCAACTCACCACTTCAAACCTTAAATGGCTTCCAATTACTCTTAATTTCTGAACAAAACTTGTAAGGTTCTTTGCAACCTGCACCAGATTTTCTGGCTCTGTCTCCTACTCCCGCATCTCGAGCTATATGCATTTATGTTTTAGTACAGGTGCTTTCTCTAACTTCCAGCCTTCACCACATTCTATTGCCCCCTGGCTGAAACACTCTTCTCTTCTTTCCTTCCTTCTACCTTAACCTAGCTGAGATCTATTTACCCTTATGGCCTCAGCTTACTTTAGGAAGTCTTCCCTGACACACTTTATCCTAGGTGACCAGAGTAAAACCAGGCCCTTAGCTGGCAGCCAGCACATTTCAGTGAAACAAACAATTGTTGCCAATGAGAATTAAAGCTGATTATTGTTGTGTGAGGGAGCACCGGTGGCACAGTGGTTAAAGCACTCAGCTGCTAACTGAAAGTTCAGTGGTTCAAACCCACCAGCTGCTCCACAAGAGAAAGATGTGGCAGTTTGCTTCTGTAAAGATTACGGCCTTGGAAGCCCGATGGGGCAGTTCTTCTCTGTCCTATAGGGTTGCTATGAGTTAGAATAGACTCAATAACATTGGGTTTTTTTTATAGTTTTGTGAAAGGAGCTCTGGTGGTGCAATAGTTTAACATTCAGCTGCTCACTGAAAGGTCAGTTGTTTGAACCTATCAGTCGCTTTGTGTGAGAAAAGACCTGGTGATCTGCCCCTATAACAGCCTGGGAAACCTTACCAGGTAGTTCTACTCTGTCCTATTGGGTCACTATGAGTCAGAATCTACTCAATGACTCACAACAGCATAGTTATGTGAACACGTGGCTAGAGTCTTAGGGGTAGAGGGAATAAAGTGCTGTAATCAAACCAGTGGATAGGCAATATATTCATGCCTATTAAACTGTGGGGAACCCTTCTCACTTCTTCAGATACACATCCTGTTCCTCTTATTCACTTTATCACTTTGATATATTAATCCCCATTACAACTTAAACTTCCTGTCTCAGTTTGAGGCCCCAGAAAGCAGAGCCTGAGACAAGGAGGTTTATTTGAGAGGTGATTCCTGAGAGCACAATTAAAAATCAGGAAAGGGAGAAAGAGAAGCAAGAAAAGCCAGTAAAGAGAATGTTATTGAGCTGGTTACTGCTGTAGACAAGTGAAGCTCCATCTCACTGGGAACCTTCTGAGGAACCGTGTAAAATGGCTGCCATCGAGTTGATTCCGACTCATAGCAAACCTGTAGGACAGAGTAGAGCTGCCCCATAGGGTTTCCAAGGCTGTGTAGAACCTTTAATATCCCTCTGAAAGGAGGTAGAGGCATTTATCCACCAACTCCCATCCCTCATTGGTTAAGTACCGTCTCTGGGGAACTTAGCCCCCTTCCACTCCCAACATTTCCAGCCTGCTGAGGATGAATGAGATCTCTTTACTTTAGAGAAAGCAGGTGGGAAAGTAGAGCCACCAGTACTTATGGTGGGATGCTAGAAGCACACACACAAACTGTCTACCATAACTGCAGTACGGGTGGGCCAAGCAGATGTGGCTTGAGTCATCAACCATTTCTGCTCCACTTCCCAAAGACTTTTTTCTCCATGAATCTCTAGGTTCCCACCTGTTATGGATTGAATTGCATCCCTCAAAAATCTGTGTCAACTTGGCGAGGCCATGATTCCCAGTATTGTGTGGCTGCCCACCATTTTGTGATCTGATATTATTATCCTATGTGTTGTAAATCCTAACCTGTATGATGTTAATGAGGCAGGATTAGAGGCACTTATGTTAATGACGCAGGACTCAATCTACAGGATTAGATTGTATCTTGAGTCAATCTCTTTTGAGATATAAAAGAAGTGAGCAGAGAGACATAGGGACCTCATACCACAAAGAAAGAAGCGCCTGGAATACAGCGTATCCTCTGGACCTGGGGTCCCCTGCACTGAGAAGCTCCTAGACCAGGGGAAGCTTGAAGACAAGGATCTTCCCCCAGAGCCAAAAGAGACAGAAAGCTTTCCCCTGGAGCTGGCACCCTGAATTCAGACTTCTAGACTCCTAGACAGTGAAAGAATAAACTTGTTGAAGCCATCCACTTGTGGTATTTGTTATAGCAGCACTAGATAACTAAGACACCACCATAAACATAAAAAGAGTAATGCCAAACTATTTTCACTTCTCTGTTTCAAAGAACTAGTGGCTTGGGAGTTTGGGAAATTCCATTAATTTACCAAAGAGTAGCATGAATAACATGAAAAGGACTGGATCATGGTATAGGTAGATAAATCCAATGCTGGCTAAACAGCTATACTCAGAGAACGCTGATCAATGATGCAAATGGTTATATTGTATTATTTCCCTGCATAATGTATGTGAATGGTGTGCCTAGATGGTGCAATGCAACAGCCCTGCCTAGCACAGAGTAGCTACTCAATAAATTATTACTAGTGAAAGAACAAAAAGAATGCAAAATGTCAGAGTTGTTTGACCTATTTGTTGTTATTGTTAGTTGCCACTGAGTTGACTCCAATGCATGGTGACTCCATGTGTGCAGAGGAGAACTGCTCCATAGGGTTTTCAAGGCAGTGACCTTTTGGAAGCAGATCACCAGGCCTGTCTTCAAAGTGCCTCTGGGTGGGTTTGAACTGCCAACATTTTGGCTAGTGGTTGACAGCTTCACCATTGGCGCTACTCAGGGACTCCTGTGTGACCTACAGTGCTAGTAAAACATACATCAGTGGTTCACACCTGGGGGTGTGTTTGCCCCGAAGGGGATATTTTTCAAAGTCTAGAAACACTTTTTATTGTCTCAACTGGAGATGTGTTACTGGAATCTAATGGGTAGAGGCCAGGGATGCTGCTAAATATCTTACAAAGCACAGAACAGTCCCGTCTCCCTACCCCTCAACAAAGAATGAACTAGCCCAAAATGTGAACAGCGTCGAGGTTGAGAAACCCTGACACAGATAGTATATCTGGGCATTGATATATAAGTATATGTATTTATATAAACACATGTTATTTCTTCACCTAAAATATTTTATTGATTGACATTAAAAAATAAATGATTAATTACAAATGAGTTGTTCTACATGCCAGCAATACAAAGGATTGCATTCGTACCACCAAAACCAAAGGAATTGGTAAGTCCAATACATCTTTTCTCACTGTTCCATTCCTGTGTCTTTAGTGGAACATAATTGAGATCAAATTCTGGTTCTGTACAATCCAGGTTTAAAGTTGGTGGTAGTTTTCGATAATAACAAGCCAGCGCAGTAAAAGCTGCCTCAACTGCTCCTGCAGCCCCCAGCAGATGTCCAGTGGCCCCTTTAGTTGAAGAAACCGCAAGGGCATATGCATGGTCTCTGAAAAGACGTTTTATAGCTTTGTTTTCAGCAGCATCTCCCAATGGCGTGGAAGTAGCATGTGCATTGACATAGGATATCTCCTCAGGTTGTATACTTGCATCTTTTACAGCAGCAGCCATGCATCTAGTAAAATAAGAAGAGAAATTGAATTTATCAGAACTAAGCTTACTTTTAACAGGGGCTTCTTTATCAGTATGGCTTATCACAGACAGGTCTCCAAGTACACTGGATGAAAAGAATCCTTTGCTCTAGTAACAGAGCCCCATCTTGGACTGTCATGTGGCTTTGTATGCCAACTGCAAGAGTCACACCCAATGCTTTGAACTGATTCATCACCATGAAATAAATACACAAGCACGTGGATGTTATAAACTCTGATCAGAAATACCTCCATTTATTTAAACTGGCATTTTTCCTGAAGGAAAAAGCTATGTTGACTCAAGCCTAGAATAATTTTCCTTCCAGGAATTTTTTCCCCCTTGAAAGCAGGGTAAATGATTTAAATGTGGGAAACAATTTATAAGTTTTAATTTTTCTTTCATATTTAAACGTAAAACTCAGTATTTTCTCCAATAATCTTAAAGCTTTTACACTATTATTTCAGTGTTTCAAATAACCTTTCAAAATTCTCTTTACTAATGGCTGTAAGAATTCTAAAATGAAGATGTACAAAACCACGCCCCCCAAAATAAAACACACACACACACACACACACACACACACACACACAATAAAAAACCTCAAAACCAAAAAATCTCTCTGAAAGAAACTCAGAAAACCTTATGGATATTAAGACCTGAATTTTTAATGCCTGATCTCCAGGCTGCATAGATTTTCTAAGAAGCAGCTCAGTGTATAATTTGAAATGTGCTAAAAGGTTCCCCAAACATAACTATTTCTTCAACTTGCTGGTTACTATGCTTGACATTTCCAGCACCAGCAATTATTCACTAAAACTCAAAAGTATAATTCAGGGAGGCGCCCTGGTGGCACAGTGGTTTAGCGCTCAGCTGTCAAGCAAAATGTCGGAGGTTCGAACTCAAGAGCCACTCGGCAGGAGAAAGATAATTCAGGGGTTGGTAAGCCACTGCTGGGCCAGCTGCCTGTTGGGTAGCTTCATGGGAACACAGCCACGCCCATTCACTTACTTATTGTTTATGGATGCTTTTGTGCTACAAAGTCAGATTAGTTGCTCCAGAGACCCTGTGGCCCATAAAGCTGAAAATATTTACTATTTATCCCTTTACAGAAAAAATCTGCTGACTCCTGGTTTATTTAACCAGTTACAATGTAATATGACCTGAGAAGGCTAACCTATTAGTTAGCTAACATATTATCATGGATTCTTTTATTTTTGTTTTGAACAGAACTCACTACAAATCTTAACTTGCTTCTCAATATGTGGTCCTTGGAACAGCAGCATCAGCATCCTGTTAGAAATGCAGAATCTCCGGCACCACCCTGGAACTAGCAAGTCATAATCTGCATTTTAACAAGAGCTCTAGGTGATGTGTATCCACATGAAAGGTTGACAAGTTCTGATTTAGTAAGAGCAAAACCCTATACTGAGATGGGAGAGAACAGTTTAAAAAGAAAGGGCTGACTTTACTGTCCAAGTCTGATGAAGGTCTAAGAGGAGGAAGGGGAAGGGAGCACTCTGACAGGCTTCTTAAGCACAAATGGATGCATGAAAACTTGGCAAAGACACACATGGTCTTCTCCACAACTTTATTAGCCCCGACTAAAATCCAATGTTTGTAAGGATGTTCAAGTGTGTTTTCAACTATTCCAAACATGTTAAAGCAAAGAATTCAGAAACACTTTGTTTAGTCTAAAATGGAAAAACAAGAGAGCTACTGTACACCAAGAAAGCCAGATAAGACAATTTTCCCTGTTTTGGAACTCCAATAAAGATGGCGGCACAGTGGTTAAGCATTTGGCTGCTAACCTAAAGGTCAGCAGTTCACATCCACCAGCCAATCCTTGGAAACCCTATGGGGCAGTCCTACTCTGTCCTACAGGGTCGCTATGAGTTGGAATCGACTCGACGGCAATGGGTTTATTTGAAGTATTACTTTGAAGGAAACAACCAATCTTTACCTTAAGGCACCATCTCCTTCAGGATCCGGGGCGGTTATGTGACTGGCATCACCTGAGAGTCCATAGCCCAAAATTTCTGCATAAATTCGAGCCCCTCTTTGAACAGCATGTTCATGTTCTTCCAGCACGAGCACAGCTGCACCTTCTCCCATCACAAAACCATCTCTCTTTGGATGAAATGGTCGACATGCTAACTTAGGATCAGAGTTTGTGCTCAGAGCCCGGGCTCTGGAAAACCCAGCAAGAGATAAAAGGCTGATGCAAGAATCTGCACCTCCAGCCACCATCACATCAGCATCACCATGGGCTATAAATCTAAAAGAATCTCCCACAGCATGAGCTCCTGTGGTACAGGCTGTGGATACGGCATGATTGGGGCCCTTGAGCTTATACCGAATGCTGACCTGGCCTGCTGCCATATTGACCAGAATCTTAGGGACAAAGAATGGGCTGACTTTATTGTAGCCTTTTGTCTGAAACATCAAAGCAGTTTCCGAAACAACTTCAAGAGGAACCATTCCCAGGCCAATTGAAACACCAGTAGCCGCTTGATCAGCTTCTGACTGAGGATACCAGCCTGAATCTTTCAGCGCTAACTCTGCAGCACCAATGGCCATGATGGTGGGAGAAGACATGGACTTGGTATCTGATTTGGACACAAAGTTCTGTTCATTGAACTGACCTTCATCACAACCTCTTGGCACATAAGCAGCAACACTGCAAGGAATCCTCTTATACTCTTCACCAACCAGTGAAACAATTCCACTCTCTCCTCGGATAAGACGATCCCATACCAGTTGAGTTCCAACGCCAAGAGGAGTCACCAAGCCAATGCCTGTAATGACAACCCGCCTTCGCAAACTGGATGTTGGTACAGTTCCGAAAAACCTTTTACTTCTTAACTGCAGGCATAATCTTGAATACAGAAGACGATGGCTTGTAATTTTTAGGAAATTTTGCAAGTAGTATGACATGACTGAAATTCAGACCATCAGAAACACATTCCTGTAACAGACCACAAAACATCGAGGAGCTACTCACTAGTGCTTAAAACAGCCTGAGCAACAAGCTGGAACGTGGTCTTTAGGTGCTTGTCTTGAGCTGTTAATTAACTCGGAAAATAATGCCACATAATTTTAAGTTATATTTTCTTCGGAAACCACCTGTTTGGACTTAACTCCCTTTATAGGTTGTTTAAGTACAGTTCTGCTGTACACAGGGTTTCTATGAGTCGAAAGCGACTCGATGGCACCTAACAACAACAAGCTGATGCTGACTTCAGGAAGGATCCTTTCTCAGTGACTACTGAGATCTGCTTTTAAATAGCATCTCTGGTGTCAGTGGCACAGAAAACACATTTCAGTGCCTATTCTTTGAGGAAGGCCTAAGTGGTCTTTAGTGATCTTCAAAATTAGGAATAACTAGCCCTTCCAAAAGGCCTCCAAGGACAAAGAACTCTAGCCTGAGCGTTGGGAAACACGGGCTTAAGACTGCGGGGGTGGGGGGGGAAGGGGGTCTCCCCACCACTATAAACAACTTTAATTGCGTCACCTGTGGAAGGACAAGTTAGGACCCCCGAATGCCAGGGGCGGAGAGTGAAAGGGTGTGACCACTTCCTGTACCGCCTCTCAAGCGCCCTCCCCCCACCACCCCCCGACGCGCGCGCGCAAAAAAGGGCGGAAGAGGAAAAGACACCAGGCCCTGGTCATCTGCCTCTCCTCGCTCGGTTTAACCCCCCGACTCGATTTGGTGGTGGACGGGCGACCGATACCTGCACCAAGCCTCGCTTCCGGCCGCGCAGCCGCCGTCCCCGCCGATGACGCTGGCGTGCGCCCACGCACACGCACGCACGCACGCTCGCGCCACGTCGGAGCCAGGCTAGGCCCGCTGCCCTTGTTTTGCGTCAGTTTGCCTACTGTCCGCCCGAGGGAGGTGGCGGAGCCGGCGTTACCTTCCCCAAAACACCCCTTTCAGAACCTCTGTGACTCGCAGATAACCGAGGGGGTGCAAATTAATGCAGTAACATAGCATTTTCGCCCATCAAACAGGGATTTTTTTGTAATGTTAAAGCCCAAATTTTTACATGTAGTAAAAGGGGCACCCTCATATTCTGCTGTAACGCTGGGAAAGAATTAAGGAAATTACTGTAGCCTCAAGAATGTACCTCCTAAAGTTATTTATAACGGTGAATAAGGTAGACCTAACCAAAATGCCCAACATTCGGAAGTTGTGTATTTTGTGGTATGTACATCGAAATGCTATTTTAAAATAATTTTATAATGTTAATGTGGGAAGATGTTACGGCTATATGTTGGGAGATACAAGTTACAAAACAGTATATATCATTTTTTTTTAAAAGGTCTGGTAGGACGTACAATAATTGTGATGAGATCGTTGCCCCACCCTCCCTTTGTTTTTCCTTAGCTTATTTACTACTTTTTTTTATATTAAGCATGTAATGCGTTTGTAATAATAACAAAGTTGTTTTTAATTTTTAGAACTTTGTTTGCTTGATCTGGGCCAGAGCTGCAGCTATCACACCTGATGTCTGACAAGAATAGAGAAGACTAGAAACAATTCTAAGTCTCTAAAAAATTGAATAGCTTTATTTGCTCAAAACTAGCTATGACTCCATAAAGGAAGAATGTAACATGAAAATATAAAAAAGTAGTAAGTCAGCAAATGGTATTTATTGACCATCAGTTGCTCATGTGCTGTCGCAGGTGTGGGTTTTGTTTTGTGTCTTTTTTCTTCTTTAGGTAAAGGATTGACCACATAATCTGCATCTGAACTTCCTGGACATAGTTATGTTTCTTTCTAGGCAATGCCTTTGAAGCACAATTGTTTCAGAATAGAGTCCTCTGCGTTCTTTCCCAGCTCTGGAGAAGAATTTGGACCAAACTTAGCTTTTCTGGGTTAGTCTTGGGTTTAAATGAGTTGAATATCTGCTCTGTCCAAAATAGTTCAGGGAAACCCAGCTTCGCCTTGAGTAATCCTTGATCCCGGTTCTGCTGAATTAGTTCTTAGGATGGCCCTTTTCAATGGCAAGAAAGAGGAATTAAAACAAACATATGGTTATAATTAAAACCTGATGAGTGAAAAGTACCCAAACTTGCTCTCTCTGCTTTTCTTTGCTGTATAATATTCTAAAATAGTAGTGAAAAGACCTGTAATATTTTCTTTGTCTAAAGCTAAATTCATATGAAGCAGGTTTTTAATATGTGTTGAATGTTTAATTTTTCTTTTATAGTATCACAAAATCACCTTGGATAAGATGTGACAAGTCAATTAAAATCTTACAGAAAATTACAAAGAACTGAAAAGTCATTTCATTTTATTTCTTATTCTCTTTTCCTTTAATTTGAAATGGGGTGGGAAATTTTATGATATTCCCGTATAATCTTATATATGACTTAGTACCATACTTTTGCTGTGCTACAATACCATGGTGTTTTCTTACACCAAAATGTTTAAAAGGGCTCCACTTATGATAGCATCTTTCCTTTCAGACTTGCAGGTTAACCTTAAATTCTTCATAATCTGATTTAAAACTATCTTTCCATATATAGCTCCTCCTCTCTATTACACGAACTTTCCACCCAGCAAACTGATCTTACTCTCTTAATTGACCCTAACTTGTCCTCTTTCATGTGCCGGCAAAGTTTGAGAACTACAACTTTAGAGGCTCGCACTTTGTTCAACAAACATTTATTTTCCTCCTACCACGTGTAGGGAGCCCTGGTGATGGCAGTGGTTAAAAGCTACGGTTGCAAAGCAAAAGGTTGGCAGTTCCATTCCACCAGCTGGTCCCTGGAAACCATATGGGGCAATTCTACTCTGTCCTATAGGGTCGCTATGAGTTGGAATCAACTCAACGGCAATGGTTTTGGTTTACCATGTATACAGCCTGGGATACAAAAATGAATAGGGTACCACAATAAAGTCTTTAAATGAATAGGTTTTTGCTTTCAAGAAGTTCATAGTCTACTAGAGTGAGACGGACATGGAAAACAAGTATGTGCAAACTACTGAAAGAGGTGCTATAATAGAAGTCTGGATAAGGTACAAAGCGGGCAACGAGGTCATCGCTACCTTGTGAAGTCAGGAAAGGCTCCAGCTCCAAAGAAACAATCCTTGAGCTGCATCTTGAAAATAATTAGCAGCTAGTTTGGAGAAGGATCCTTGGTGGTGCTGTAGTTAAGAGCTGGACTGCTAACCCAAGGGTCAGCAGTTTGAATCCACCAGCCACTCCTTGGAAACCCTACGGGGCAGTTCTCTTTTACAGGGTCACTATGAGTTGGAATCTGAAGAATAGGGTGGGGAAGGACATCCTGGCAGAGGGAGTAGCACAAAGGCCACTGAGAATTTTTTACCAGGAGAGTAACATGGTCATATGTGTGCTTTAGAAAGATCACTGTTGCTGCAGTGTGGACGATGGGTTGGAGAGAGGTGGGAATTCAGACAGGGAGGAGAGTTAGAATGATGTACTCAACAGGACAGTAGGTAAAGAAGCCCTGAACTAAGGCAGTAGCAAGGAGAGATGCAGGAGATGTGGAGAAGGAAATACCGACATTGCTAGAATATTGTCCCTGATTAAGTGTGCAGGATTTTTCCACAGCTACAAAGACCTCTCCTTCACCTTCACCTCCAAATGTAAGGGTCCTGTTCAAATTCCTCCTCCATGAAACTGCAGCACACACTGAAATTTTCCTTCCTCTAAATGAAAACAAAACCAAACCAGTTGCCATGGAGTCAACTCCAACTCATGGTGACTCCATGGGTGTCAGAGTGGAACTGTGCTCCAAAAGGTTTTCAGTGGCTGATTTTTCAGAAGTAGATCACCAAACTTTTCTTCCAAGGCACCTCTGAGTGGACTCTAGCAGCTGAGGACTTAACCATTTGCACCATCTAGGGACTCCTGCCTCTAAACTAGTAGTTCTCAAACCTTACTGGCACATCAAAAATCAATAGTTTATCTTGTAAAGAATGTCTGCCTTGAGCATTATGCTTTTTTAAGAACTGTCTATATGGGATCAAATTGATAACCAAAAAAAACCAAATTCATTGCCATTGAGTCGAACAGAGTAGAACTGCCCATAGGGTTTACAAGGAGCACCTGGTGGACTTGAACTGCTGACATTTTGGTTAGCAGCCATAGATCTTAACCACTATGCCACCAGGGCTTCCAACTGACAATAGCAACTTAAAATTAGATAGGAAACTTAGGGAGCAGTGAGTTCATGTTAATGGGGGAGGAACAACTCAGAAAAGGAGAGTAAGAATGGTTGCACAACTCGAAGAATGTTATCAATGTCACTGAATTGAACATGTAGAAATTGTTGAATTGGTGTATGTTCTGCTATGTATATTCTCAACAAGAACAACAAAAAATAAATTGTTAAAAAAAAATCACCTGGTGGGCTAGCTATTACACAGATTGCAGGGCCGCACCCTTAATTAAAGATGGGCCTGAGAATTTGCCCTTCTAACAAGTTCCACGGCGATGCTGCTGCTGCTGGTGGTCTAACCACTACTCTAACCTTCTGACTTCGTGACAGCAGGGACCATACCTGTCTCCTTCAGGGGTGTATCTCCAGTGCCTAGCCCTGTGCTTGGCATTTAGTAGTCACTTCATGAATATCTGGTGAATAAATGAATAAACATATACCCCTACATTCGCTAATGTAGATGCGCTGCCTTGTGCGTTATTTACAAATGAGTTTTGTTTCTGTCTTCACATCAATTCTTTTCTTTTATAAACTGAAGGAATATCCCTGTGTCAGGTATTAAGATTGTTTAGGTTTTGTCTTCCCTATTAGATTAAAAGCCCTTTGTGCCAGCTATCTCAGACTGCACACAGCAGGTGCTCAATAAATAGTTGCTGGTTAATGCAATCACACAATAATGATTCACCACACAGATTCCTGGAAGGCTTCAACCCCTCTCCTTGCTGATCGTCTTTGTTGAGATGAACATTTTCTTTCTTTTTTTTTAAATGATAAAACTGATTCTGGGGAAAATTTAGTGGGTTATTTCTCTCTTTTTTTCCTGTTCCATTTAAGAATAGTGCCACCATGTGTCAACTTGAAAGATGTTGTTCTTTATAGATCTGGAATCCTGAAGAAAATTATTTCGGAGCAAAAAAAAGTAAAACAACAGGAAGTTCAGTGCTTATTTAATAGTAGAACATCCTTTAGCTTTTTGAAACAATGGTGGGTATAAAGACACTAAGAGTAGCTTAGTATCTTCAACTTTTCAAAAGGAAACCAAAGAATCAAAATACCTTGAACTTGAATCAAGTAGGAAAAGCAGATAGGGAAAAGAATGAGACAAATTCCCTTTTTATAGTGAATTTCTTTAATAGTTTCATAAATGGTGGTATCCAAGAGAGATTGTAACGTACTTACAACCTTTAAGAGAAGGGTTGGCAAAGAATTTGGAAGGGATTAAATTTCAAGTAATTTAAAATAATTTACAGAATAGATTTGGAAATGGTTATTTCCATGAGTTTATGGACTCTGCATTATCATCACAATCTTAATGCTATTGCACTGGTTTTCACACTGTGATTTCCTGTTCCCCGAGAAGTTCCCTATGGCCATTATTTCTGTCAAGGGTGGGGCTAGGCTGAGAGCATTCTGGGAAACCCCCTCCCTTGCTTCAGTTCCAAAGCACTTGCACTTTGCTGTTTTGTGTATAGCGGGTTTCCTAAGATTTTGTTTGAAAAGTGTCTTTTATTAAAAAAAAAAAAAAAACATAAATCACTACATCCAAAACTAAACGCACTACTGTTGAGTTGATTCTGATTCATAAACCAAAAAACCAAACCCATTGCCATCAGGTCGATTCCAAGTCAGCAACCCTACAGGACAGAGTAGAACTGCCCCATAGAGTTTCTAAGGAGTGCCTGGTGGCACATGGTGGATTCAAATTGCCGACCTTTTGGTTAGCAGCTGTAGCACTTAACTATTACACTACCAGGGTTCCCCATAGGACAGAGTAGAACTGCCCCGTAGGGTTTCCAAGTTTGTAAATCTTTACAGAAGCAGACTGTCACATCTCTCTCCAGCAGAATGGCCAGTGGGTTCAAACCGCCGACCTTCTGGTTAGCAGTTGACCGGTTTAACCACTGCACCAGAAAGTTCTTCAAACCATTATATAACATGTAATAATCTTATACAATTATTACAAGGATAAATTAATGTGCTAATTGGAAAAAGAAACCCAAATTAAGGGGAATATAGTTTGTGCTAGAGACAGCTATAACCCCAACCCTCTTCCCCTCATGTTCAGTCTTGTAGGGTTTTTGAGAAGTGCCATGTCCAGCTAGGGACTACATTTGCCAGTCTCCCCTTTTACCTGGATGGACCCTCATTCTTGCCAATCATATGGGAAAAAAATACTGTATATCATTACTGGGTCCCTGTGTTTAAGGCGTAGATGTGCCTTCTTTTTGCAGAAGTTGGCAAACTACATCTTGCAAGTCAAATCTAGCAGGCTGCCTGTTTTTGTAAATAAAGTTTCATTCGAACACAGCCATGCCCATTCATGTTAAGTCTTGTCTATGGCACTGTAACTGCAGAGGCAGAATTAACCCTTTGGTGACCCAACAATTTTTTGCTTTGATTTTTTTGTTGATACCATATGTTTTCATTAATGGAAGCATGCTGAATCATTGTGTCTGAATTTTTGGTAGGTAGTATAGATTTTTTTTTTCTTGCCCCTCTCCCACAAGCCTATCCTAAGTGTTTTGTGGTACATATGAAGTACCACTAATTAGACCCCAGAGTCTCCACTGGGGTCTATTGGTACAGATGTGTAACAAAAATTTTCAAAATTTCTATTTTTCCTACCAAAAATTCAGACATCTCATACAATACCCTGTAAAACAGTAGTTTGTGACACATACTCGTTTCTTGCTTTCAAACAGTCATAAAGGCCCCTGCCTTGTGGCAGCATGCACTGTCAGTGGTACAGCAGATTTCCAATAAACCCCCGAGGCTAAAAAAATTCATGGTCGCAATATGTACTGCCGGGCATGAAAGGGTTAAATAGTTGCCACAGAGACCCCATGGCCCACAAAACCTAAATCATTTACTAGTTAGTCCTTTACAGAAAACATTTGTTCACCTCTGCTCTAAGGGACGGAAGGAGCCTGGGTTTCTGAATCAATATATGTAGGAATTAACGATACCTGCGTTCAACTGTTACATGAGCAAGAATTTTCTCTTGTGTTAAGCCACTGAAGTTTTTAGTTTCAGCAGCTAACCTGTTAAATACACTATTCTTGGAAGCTGGTTCAAAAACTTATTTATTAAAAACCTGTCATGTGTTCCTGGCAGATGAATGGTAATTGAAGTGGATAACATAGCTCAAGGTCTTGCTCGGACAAACTGGAAGAAAAGTTCACATCTTAAAAGCGTTCCATAAAGCATCAAGAACATTCAAAGAGGCTACTTAGACAAATAATTTATCTTAGAAACATAAGGCCAGGAAAAATATTTGTGGAGGTTTGGAAAGAAATTTCTGCAGTTAAGGAAGCGATTTTCAATACCGATAAATATGCTCTCACTGGCATTATGCGGCAGATGCTGGATTAAAGAGGTTAAGGGTGCATTTTCTAAGAGGGTTTTAAAGGGTACATAATCTATCTGCGAAACAAAAGTCACAGAACAATATTTACCCTTACTATGCGGGATGCATAATTTTGTTCTCTTCCTTCCCACCCCTATCCTACTTTGTTGTTATCGTGTGTTTTTATGCTAGTCACCACACAGTAAATTGAGTCCACAAACTACTAATGGGTCACAGTAGTTTGAAAAACTCTTCCTTACAGCATTATCATACTATCTGAGCAGTGACAAATATAAGAGATTTTCAATCACCCATCTAATTCTAATAAGAGCCAATAGATCGGAAAGCACAGCAGTTTATGGTCATGAGTTTGTTATTCCATCCACATCTATCCGGGAGGTCCCGACAATCTGCTAGGAAGACCCCGGAAGACTTTTATATGGGCGAGGCTGCGTGGAGATGTACGGGGTTTCCCACCCTTCTGCCTGGATCAGTCGAGGCCGCCCCTAAGGCGCCCAGAAACCGGCGTTTCCTCAAAGGATCGGCCAGCACCTGGTCGCCCCCGTCCCTCACGGCCCGCCCCCTACCCCGTCGCTTCTGACCGAGGCCCCGCCGCCAGTGAGGCCCCGCCCCCGACCGGCGATCCGCCCCCATGACCGAGGCCCCGCCCCGACCGAGGCCCCGCCCCCACCGGAGCCCCCAGCTCCTCCTACCACCGACGCCCCCTCCCCCCGGCCGGCTGCCGCGACCGCGAAGCGCTGAGGCGCCTGCTCAGTGCGGCATGCGGCGCGCGAGGGGCGGCGACGGTCGCGGGTGCTCAAGCATGGCGGCGTCGGCTCTGGGCAGCTCCTCAGGCTCCCCGTCCCCGGCCGTGGCCGAGCTCTGCCAGAACACCCCAGAGACCTTTCTGGAGGCCTCCAAGCTGCTGCTCACCTACGCGGACAACATCCTCAGGTGCGGGGCGGCCGGGGCGCCGCGCCTGCTCAGCCCGGGTCTGGGGGCGCCCGGCCCGGCTTCGGAGGGCGGCGGGGCCCGGAGGGACTGGCCTGGGCGTAGCGCCGCTCGGGAGACCGCAGGCCGGGGCCCAGTGTCCGCACAGGCTCCAGTCCGCCCAAGAAGAGGCAGTTTCCTTTGCATTTGTGCCTGGGCACCTGATATCGGGGCGCGCCGGAGTGAACTGGAGGTCCCGGGGTTGGGGCAAGACGGCGGGAAGGTGGGAAAGCGCGCCCCAGACACTTGCTTCTCACTCAGTTCTTTAACTGTCTTAAAAGTCAAGATATAAACGGTAACTGCGCTTTCATGTCCACTACGTGGATTTTACGGAGCAGGGCGGCTTGAATCTACACGTGCTTATCAAAAGTTAGTCTTTGACAACCTGATGTTTTCTTCCCAGCATTTTGTAGATATCCTAAAGCATACTACTGAAGTTTTGTTTTTAATTTTAATGATTTTTTTCTGACCGTTTTTGTTGGTTGAAACATTAACCATATTATTGTGAAGTTACGATTATTACATTACTACCTGAATTCTGCTTTTCAGTATGACTCCCTAAATGAGTAAGAATTAGTGAAGGTAATCACTTTGGATAAGAGTGATTTGTTTCCTTCTCCTGTCAGCAAAAGTACACTTCTAGAGCTGAAGTTTTAGGAATTTGGATAAGTTTGATTATTTATTTTGAACCGTTACCTACTTCAGCTCTTCAGATCAAAGGATGTGGTGTCTTAAGGAGAAACGTGGGGTGGGGGGAAGGGAGCAAAGGTTAAAGGAGCTTCAAGGCCAAGTGCTTTGGCATGTTACTTCATTATCAGGTCACCATGATTATCTAGGTTCTTTGTCCCCCTCTGCCCGTGGTCCATTTGCTCTTCTAAGTGACACGTATGTTGGCATGAAGTCTAAAAAGGAATTCCTCTTAGTTTGAAGGTTATAGATTTTTTGTGACCCAGTTGTAGAGACATTAGTTACAAGTGCAGTATTTAATCCATGGTAGTAATAATATGGTTCACTTAGATAATGATTTTAAAGCTATATTGAAGGGAAATTACATTGAGCCCTTATTATGTGCCAGATGCTCTGAGGGATGCACTGTTCACAGCTACACAATTGTGACCTGTCGAGGGACTGCCTGCCTCCTCTGTGACACCTTCTCAATTTGGCTTTTATGCTTTGAGAGGTCTTAGAAGAGCTATTCAGAGCGCAGAGATGCCAGTGGACTCTGCATAAATGAACTGGAGAGACTGGGGTTTTCAGAGCCCATCAGCTGGGCCTCCCACCTGAAAAGCCACCAAACTATTTAAACCACGCTAGGAAACCCTATGAGGCAGTTCTCCGCTGTCCTGTGTGATCGCTATGAGTCAGAATTGACTCGATGGCAACGGGTTAATCAGAAAAGGGTGGTGGCCTTGTATGAGGACTCACTTTCATTTCAAACCAGAAATGCTGAGATCAAGGTATTTTGAGGAAGGAAACCCTCTGCATGCAAATAATGACCTTTGGCATCATAATCATCATTGTGAATGTTAACCAAACTCCTGGAAGAGACTTGGCATGTGTCAGTTCAAGTTGCAGTCTTTACTATGGCTTATGTTTCTGATCTTAAAGATTTGTCTTTTTTGTTTGTTTTGTTTTTATCTGAAAAGGGAATTAGGCATCTGGAACTCATATAAATGGAGATGGTATGAAAAAAAAAGCTGTCCTTTTTAGTTAAAGTAGTAGTACTCCTACTATCATATTCTTAGAATTCAAAATTCTTCTGGCCTCCGGAGGAAAATCTCCTTTTCTTTTCTGTCGAAGGCCAATGTCTTGCTAACTGCTAAACAGAAAAGCTCCAGATTTTTTTTGGTCCCCAGCCAAGCAACAATACAGATCTGTTCGTTCAAATTATTTGAGTATGGAGAAAACCAAGTTTTTCTGTTCTTTTTGCTGTTTGGGGGAAATCCACTAGTGTTAGAGGTAAAGAACTATATCTTTTCATCTTGATGACCTTCACTCCCACTTCAGGGTAGAGCAAGAGCTGGAATGAGCATTCCATTAGCTTTTCTTTTTTTTTTTTTTTTTTTAACAGTGATACTTGCCACTGTACACATTGAATTTCAAGTAAAAAGACTACTTTTAAGTTTTTTAAAATGGCTGCCTTGACATTTCTCCTATTCCCCAAATACTAATCATAAATCTAATGAAATTACTGAATAAAATATATGTTAATTTGAATCCTCAAATTCCGTGGGTTTGGATATTTTACCTTTTTCAGGTCATTGACTTACAGAGATGAGCTGTTCTCTATAATACCTGCTTCCACAAAAGCCTGTAACAGCGTTTCTCTATCATTCCACATGGGTTCCTTCAATAATTTGCTCCATTCATTCTTTAAACAATATGTTAGATTTTCCAGTAATTTCCTTTGTAAACTGCACACAGTTACTGATTCAGAGCTGTATTGAGTATGATTGGGAAAGGCCAAGAGTGGTAACTGGTTTCTTCCTTTAGAGAAGATACATCTGTTTGGGAGAAAGGCACAGGTATGGAAAACAACCAGAGCATGAAATCTAGAGAATAATTCCAAGACAGTGTTTAAGTGCCTGCATATTTATGTGAGGAGATAGCAGAGGAACCTGACACGGGACAGGTTTGATAAGGTGGGACCTTGAGAAGTTGATGGAGCAGTGGAGACCTTATGTTTGACACAGTAGATTATGAGGAAGCAATTGTATTTTCTAGAGTGCAAAAGAAGCATAATGAAAGAGTTTCAGGTAGAATAATAACATAAGACAAAGCATGGATTTCAGTAGTGAAACTATTGCAGGAGTCATAAGCGTAAATGTGGATGGAAATGAGAGAATTGTATTGCAGGCAGGGATTGACAAGTCTCCATGACTGAATGGGAGGAGCAGAACTGGTGATGAGGGAGAGGAACTGGTGGGGAGGGTGAGAGGGTGGACTAAATAATGGAAAATAACTTCAAGTTTCTAATCTGGGTTATAGTTGACACCTAGAGAAACTGAGAGAAGTTAGTTACTTGGGGGCTGATAACTTTGTGGGCAGCTTGTGTGGTGTAAAGGGTATAAGCTTTATAACAGCAGTCAGTTTAAATCCCAGTCAACAATTTCTTAAAAGTGTGATTATAGGCAATTTATGTAAACTCTTTGGGTTTCAGTTTCCTCCTTTTAAAAGGGAAGAAAAATACTTACATTATAGAATTGTTGCAAAATATAGAAATAAATAAAGGATCTGCCACATAATAGGTAATTGCTGCCGATACTGTCTATTGCTACTGTTATTCAGTTTTTCATGTTAAACTAGATTAAACTAGGGCATTGAACTGGTTCATTCTGGTTTGAACCCCTGCTGAGATTTGCATTTCCACCTTCAGATATACTGAATCAGAATCCCAGGGCGGGGGGGGGTCTTGTTAAAATGTAGATTCTGATTCAGTGTATCTGGGGTAGAAATGCAAATTCTCAGCAGGGATTCGAACTTGAATAAACTGGTCCAAAGCCTTGGATTAAGCCAAAACAAAAAACCAAACCTGGTGCCATCAAGTTGATTCCGACCCTTAGTGACCACATAGTAGAACAGCCTCATAGGGTTTCCAATGCTATAATTTTTACGGAAACAGATTGCCACATCTTTCTCCCATGGAGCTGCTGGTGGGTTCGAACTACTGACCTTTCAGTTAGCAGCCAGGCACTTTAACCATTGCACCACTAGGGCTCCTAAGCTAGATTAAATGTACAAATTTCTTGAGGCAGAGTGATGTTTTTGAAAAATTTAGGTGTATCAGAATAAGCAGATTTTTAGAAGGACTAGAAATCTTTTAAATGACCTACAAAGAAACTTTTGCGATTAGTCATAAAAATACAAGATTACAGTATGTATTTATATACTAAGTTTGCATTTATGTGAACCCCTTCTGGGGTTAGGCATTCTAAAAAGGAAGAGGGCTAGTAAATGATTGATATATTCTCAGTGTTTCCGAACGTAAGCTGTATCTTCAAAAATAGATATGAGCATTTAAGTTTTTCTTTTTTCAGAGATGCTGTTACTTCAGTTGGAGGCCTACAGTCAGCATGTCTTACAATGGTAGAAATATGGTAGATTTATGACTTTTAAAGTGAAAAGCATGATCCTTTCCTACCATTCAGTGGTAAAAACAAAGACTGATTTTCTGTAAGTAAACTAATTTGGTAGATAACTGTGGAGGTAAAACAATTAGGAAGACACCAAAATACGTTCAAAGTGATGGTTGAGTGAGATACAAGAAATTTTGCTGGCCTTTCAAGACCCCAATCATCCAACACTATCATCCGATAACCAAAAAAAAAATGAAGGAAAGATGCCAAATAATTGCTAACAAGCAATATAAATATTACAAGTTGCAGAAATAGTTCACAGGCAGCAGAGATGCAACACACCGAAGAGTCACAGCAAAAAAATTGAGAAAAGTCTGCATAGGAGAGAAGCTAGTGGAAGAAGATTAAGCAAAAAATAAAAGCATTCCTTAAGGGTACTTCAGATACTGCAGGATGAGGGGACTAGTAAGGAGCTCAACATAGTGGGCACACTAAAATGATGCTGAAGTGCTAGAGATTAAGAACATGTTTTTGCGGCACTTTTCCAAGCCCAGAAGTGGGATCTGATGGGGTCTGATGGCCCTGCAACCATATTCTCTAATAACTTTTGAGGGCTTTAGGCCAACTTTTGCCATCAGTCTATGTTCAACACCATGGCAAGTCTGCCCAGCATAATCTTTAATAAAGGAAAGATAGGATTTGTAAATAGACATCACTGTCATTTCTGGACACTGTTTGCCATATGCTTTTAGTGAGAAAAGCAGATAAATGATACACAAAGTCCAGAAGTATAATAAAAGATAGAAAATTGCTTGTTAGATACTGAAGAGGAAAGTCTAAACTATGCAAAGCCTATACCAGAAAAGCTGTATCAAGAGTTACATGAAAACAGCAAGATTCAAAACAACAAGCTATATCAGAATAACTAGTATAAGTTTTGGGATTCCTGGATAGTATAAACGGTTAATGCGCTTGGCTGCTAACTGAAGGTTGGAGGTTCTAGCCCACCCAGAGGCACTTAAGAAGGTCTGGTGATCTACTTCCAAAGAATCAGCCATTGAAAACCCCATGGAGCATAGTTCTACTTTAACACATGTGGGGTCGCCATGAGTCAGGGTTGACTCCATGACAACTGGTAAGTATAAGTTTCATAATTAGGATTTTTAAACAGTAGTGAAATAGAAGAAAGGTAATATTGAAGAAATAAAGGTGAATAATATAGAAACTGGAAAGTTAAGTCCGTGAAAGGCTCTGATTATGTAGGGATCTGGAAACTATTGGTGAAAAAATAGATTAAAATAACTCAACCACTTTTGTACCAGTAAGCTATATCGTCCCAGTGTTACTGACATATTTATCACCCCATGGAATGTGTTGAGTATAATAAAAAGATGCCTCATTTATCTATAACTAGCTTTGGTAAATATAGGATTATTTTATAATTTACTGGTTTTTTTTTTTGTTTAAGTAATAAAAAGGAGAGAATACACGGGAATGCACTACTGAGAAAGAAAAATGTTTAAAAATTGAAGGGAATGATAAAGGAAAATAATATTACAGAGAAATAGAAATGTGTAGAAAAACAGTCCTTATAAGAGAAAACCAGTAACAGCTGCACAAGGAGAAATATCAAAAAGTATTTGTGTGACTGATAAATATGTGTGTTTATATATATGTATATACACACAGTATACATGTAATATATATGTAATCTTGTGTACTATATTACATCTTATATATAATATGTGTGTATATATACACATACCTTTTGTGAACGTATATATATTTATCTATAAAATGGATATTGATTGAGGACTAGAAAGGAAATAGAATAATTGATACAAAATGGAAAGTATGTTGGGAATACGTACTTAAAAATTTGTTGAGAGACTATACCCACCCAAGAAAAGAACATCACCTGCAAATTTGTAGTTGCAATCCACAGTAAATCACTGAAGTAAAAAAAAAAAATAATAAAAGATTGTAAAACTCCTTAAGATTGTAGTTTTATAAAATATATATCTAATATAGTGGTTCTCAGTGGGGTGATTTCCCTCACCCCCACGGGACTTTTGGCAAAGTCTACAGACATTTTTGATTGTTACAACTGAGGGACAGTTGAGCCCAAGGATTCTAAACATTCTGCAGTGCACAGGACAGCTTCCCACAACAAAGAATTATCTGGCCCCAAATGTCAGTAGTGCCAGTGTTTAGAAACTGATCTGATATGCAAAATAAAAGATAAGAAGGATAGGAATAAATTTTTCTTTGTGTTTTCAATTATCTGTGCTTCTCAAATTATCTGTGGTGAAGAACAGTTTTTTTTATTTTGTTTTTAATTTCCCATCCTTTGTGGACCTGTAACTGTTGTAAAATATAATAAAAAGTTCATGGCATTTTCAAACTGCTGTAAAAATTACCAAACACTCAGTTTCTGCACTTACTATGTACGGGTGGCAGAGTGTTTGCAGATTGACACCAGACTGTGGGCATTTTGAATAGCACTGTTTTAGAGCTTTTGTCTTTAAATATTGTCATAAACTTGTTGTATAATTTTTTTAAGTTTGGGGGAAATAGGTTTTAAAATGATTCATTTAGTATTTATGGCAGTTTGGCAATAGGTGGTTGTTTGATGGAAAACAAATATGAAATTCAGAAAAACTTCCATAATTAAAAATACTTGGATATTTTGTCTGTTTGTTTTAAATCAGAGTATCTAGAGCCCTTATACAGTTAGGACCATGATGGAAAATCAGTTGCAAGCACTCCTCCACCCATCCCATACCCTGGGCAGATGGCCTCAGCACTCTTTCTTAAGGACCCTGACACAGCCTCAGAGTTGTTCTTAACATGTTTATGGAAATCACTACAATTTTAAGGCAGATGATATCAAATGTGAAACTTACTAGTGATCCAAGACTGTGTTCTAAAGGTAAAAGTTCTGTGATTACAATGGAATACTGTGCCACAATAAAGAGCAATGGTGAATCCACGAAGCATTTCACAACGTGAATGAATCTGGAGGGCGTTATGCTGAGTGAAATAAGTCAGTCACAAAAGAACGAATATTGTATGAGACCACTATTATAAGAACTCAAGAAAAGGTTTAAACACAGAAAAAAGCATTCTTTGATGGTTACGAGGGTGGAGAGGGAAGGAGAGGGGGATCAACTTCGGTGAAGGGAAAGATAACACACAGTTAACGGGAAGTTAGCACAGCTGGACTAAAGCGAAAGCAAAGCAGTAAAGCAGTTCCCTGGACACATCCAAATACTTTGAGGGACAGAGTAGCTGGGGCTGGGGCCTGGGGACCATAGTTACGGGGGACATCTAGGTCAATTGACATAGTTTATAAAGAAAATGTTATACATCCCACTTTGGTGAATGGTGTCTGGAGTCTTGAAAGCTTGCAAACAGCCATCTAAGATACATCAATTGGTCCCATCCCAGTTGGAACAAAGGAGAATGAAGAAAACCAAAGATACAATGAAAATACTAGCCCAAAGAAGTAAAGGACCACATGAATCAGAGACTCCACCAGCCTGAGACCAGAAGAACTATATGGTGCCCAGCTACCACGAGTGACTGCCCTGACAGGGAACACAACAGAGAGTCCTGGACAGAGCAGGAGAAAAATGGAGAACAGAACTCAAATTCACACAAAAAGACCAGACTTAATGGTCTGACAGAGACTGGAGGAATCCCTGAATCTGTGGCCCCTGGACACACTGTTAGCCCATAACTGAAACCATTCCCGAAGCCCACTCTTCAGACAAAGATTAGACAGGACTATGAAACAAAAAATAATATACCTGAGGAATGTGCTGCTTAGTTCAGTCAGATACACGACAAGACCAGTTGGGCAGCTCCTGGCCAAAACAAAACGAGAAGGCAGGAATGGATAGGAATTGATCGAATGGACAACAGGGAACTGGGGGTGGAAAGGGTGTGTTGTCACATTATGGGGATTGCAACTAATGTCACAAAACAATGTGTTTATAAGTTTTTGAATGAGAAATTAACTTGAGCTGTAAACTTTCACCTAAGGCACGATTTAAAAAAAAAAAAACTATGATTATCTTATTCCTATATAATTTTATTTCTGATTTTTTTTTATTATCAAGTTCATTAAAAATCACAAATGATGCTTTTAATGTGCTCGTAACTCATCCCAGATATACTATTCAAAATCTTAATCATGGCAAAATAACTTCATGTTTTCATTTTCTTTTATTACCATATTTGTTGTGTCAAAAATGTCTTGAGCTGATAGATACATGAGACTAAATGGGCATCTCCTGTCTGGAGGTGAGATGGGAAGGCAGAGAGCATCAGGAGCTGGTTGAATGGACGCGGGAAATCGGGTAGAAAGGAAGAGTGTGCTGTCACAGTATAGGGAGAGCAGTTAGGGTCACATAACAATGTATATATAAATTTTTGTATGAGAGACTAACTTGAATTGTAAACTTTCACTTAAAGTACAACAATAAAAAAATGCTGAGAAAAAAAAAAGTCTTGAGCTGAAACCAAACTTACGGTAAAAACAGTCCATTGGTCTAGGGAAGAAAGAAAATCAAATAACAATAAAAGTATACGTAAGTTCATATTTGTGAGAAATCTGTGATCCATTTTTAATCTAAGTTCTTAGTTTCTTTTATTCATTCATTTCACAAATGTTTATTAACTACTTCCTGTGTGTCAGGCACATAGCAGAGGATGATGAAGATCCATCAGAACAAAACAGACAAAACCTTCTATCCCCTGTCTGGAATTCCATGGTGGTTTTTCTTTTGTTTGCTTTTTTGTAGCAACCCACAAGGCTTCTAAAGTTATCTAGCTTTGAAAGCATAGAATTCACAATGCCACATGGATTTCCCTAATGCCTACATTAATATTATCAGCTGTGAAATGAAAGAGCAAGGCTGTAGTAGAATGTATACTGAAGTAAGAATCACAGTCTGGCAACTTTTCCCGATGGTCCTTCAGATTCCTCTTTATTTAGTCTACACTACCTTGTAGGAGTGTAGCCAGTATAAAGTGTGAAAATGAATGCAAAAATACTTTGAAAAATATAAATTGTTATGTATAATCAAACTTTTTTTTTTTTTATCAGAAATCCTAATGATGAAAAATATAGATCTATCCGGATTGGAAACACAGCTTTTTCTACTAGACTCTTGCCTGTCAGAGGAGCTGTTGAATGTTTATTTGAAATGGGATTTGAAGAAGTAAGTGTATTCAAGTGTTTTCTCTTCCTTCTTCATATACAAAGCAGTCTTTATAGTGTTGATGGGTAATTGTCTTAGTCATCTAGTGCCGCTATAACAGAAATACCACAAGCGGATGGTTTTAACGAAGAGAAGTTTGTTTCCTCACAGTCAAAGTAGGCTAAAAGTCCAAATTCAGGGCGTCAGCTCCAGGGGAAGGCTTTTTCTCTCTGTCGGCCTTCTCTTCAGTGTTCCCCTGGACTAGGAGCTTCTCGGGTCAGGGACCCCGGTCCATAGGATGCGCTCTGCTCCTGGCACTGCTTTCTTTTTTTTTTTTAATT